ATTCTATTCTATTCTATTCTATTCTATTCTATTCTATTCTATTCTATTCTATTCTATTCTCTACCTCTACCCTACTCTCATCTCCTCTCCTATTCTATTTGCAAGTGAACTGATTTGTTACTGTACTTTGTTGCTGTTTTTTTAAAACTTAGCCTACATGACCAACTATTGCCCGTGTTATATCCTATATTGCCAGCCTTATATAGCCTCAACCCCTTCCCCCCACCATCACCCATAGAATAATAAGATCACAGAGATGCAGTGGGTGTGCATTTTTACTATTCAGTTCTAGTGTGATCACTGCTATCAATTTTTTGCACCAGCAGGAATAAATCACAATTAACCTTGACTTCCATGCCTTGCTCGATTGGCGAAAGGTCTGTATAAATAGATAAAACAAGAGCTGCTGCATCACGAGATTTACTTCATCGCTGACAAAATTATGGTTCCTAAACTACAGATCCCATAATCAATACCAACATTATTCCCCAACAAGATCACTAATCATGCTTGCATTCCAAACAAAAATACTGTCAATGAAAGTTGTGTAGCCTGTTAATTAGTTTTGTAGTAATTTAACTGGGTTGAGAAAACACTTTTAATTTGTGTCATGCCCATTTATACATTAACAATTCCGTGGAGCTTTTTCTTCTTCTTCTGGGGGCTGGTGGGAAGGGGAACGCATGCACAACACAATTTATATTGTATGATCTATATTCATTCTGCAGTGTTCAGTGTTTTAACCGAAGAAATATACTGTAATGGTGCTGATTCAATGGAATATATTTTGCAGCCAATGAATATATATTTGAAATAGATTCCGGTGTGTTTTGGAGAAACCACTCTGCAAGTAAAATAACTTTTTAGGAGAAAAGAAAAATGTTTACCACCCAATTTTCAAGCATCAATATTCTAGAAAAGAAAAGTCGATATAGACAGTCCTCGAGTTACAACAGTTCATTGAGTGACCGTTCGAAGTTACCACGGCACCGAAAAAGTGACTTATGACCATTTTTCATATTTATGACCATGGTCACGTGATCAAAATTTGGATGCTTGGCAACTGACTCATATTTATGACCGCTGCAGTGTTTCAAGGGTCATATGATCCCCTTTTGCGACCTTCTGAGAAGCAAAGCCAATGGGGAAGCCAGATTCACTTAACAACCGTGTTACTGTGGTGATTCACTTAATAACTGTAGCTAGAAAGGTCATAAAATAGGGCAGAACTCACTTCACAAATGTCTTACTTAGCCACAGAAATGTTGCACTCAATAATGGTCACAAGTCGAGGACTACCTGTATTTAAAATAGCAGAATGACCAGTTTTGCACAAATAACCAGAATACTGTCAAAGTTACATAATGAACTACATGGTCCCACCATCCAGAAAGCAACAAAATATTTTTAAAGGAAGTAATAACTGCATAACAAGTCCATGTTATTTTCTAAGGAAGTCTGGATTAAAATATCTACAACCTCTTGCCATTGGGGATGTTGAAAGTGGATGATAGACGTGACCCAATTACCTATCCTTGGTTCCAAGCAACGATTCTTAACCTCTGTATCGTTAAGATGCGTGGACTTCAATTCCCAGAATTCTGGCTTGGGAATCCTGGGAGTTGAAGTCCACACATATTAAAGTTGCTGAGATTGGTTTTAAAAGTAGCCATTGCGGATGCATGCATGACTCCATTTTGGGTAACCATCTAGAATCACAGGATGTTCTATGCCTCAAACAAAGGGGCAAACAGGACATTCCCACTTTAGAGCTATTGAAGTCTACTACAGTAAGTGAATTATGGATCCAATAGATCAGGGGTGTCAAACTTAAGGCCCACGGGCCGTATCTGGCCTATGGGGTGCTTAGATCTGGCCCGCAGGGTCACTCTGGAAACAGCGAAGGACTGGTCCACGGTGCCTTTGCCAGTGAAAATGGAGCTAGGGAGCCCATTTTAGCTGGCAGAGTGCTCGGGCCCCCCCAGGGCCCCCCCAATATGAGTGATGTTGAGCTGACCACGCCCACCCCCGGATCAAACACAACCCTGATGCAGCCCTCAATGAACTCGAGTTTGACACCCCTGCAATAGATCAATAGAGAAGAAATCGTCTTTGATCAAGCATGTACCATGATGGAATGTTGAGCATTTTACATACCTCAGACTAAAATTCACATGAACTAAAAGGAAACATGAGAACCATGAACCATACCAGAAATAGCCGTAAAAGGGGGAATAAGACACCAGAAACTGACTTTACCTTCTCTTCTTGATCACTGTCGCTGTCACACTGAAAGAGAAAGGAAGAAATCACCTTCAAAAACAAGCCACAGATATCGAAAGTGTTCTGTGTCAAAAGAAAATTCATTTCAAGGGTGTAACCTACAGAGGTATAATCTTCCAGAACACATTCAAGTTTTTTTTTCTGCAGGGTTGAAAATGGCCCACCCAGTGGAGGAACACAGCATGTCTGAATAATATCAAATACAACCTCAATTACATGGAACAAGTTTGTCCTCTATTCAAGGTCAATATTTTCCCTACATTTTGGCCAAGTTAGCCAGACTAGGAGAAATCTCAGCATCTAACTGACCTTGTCTGGGCATGAAAGCTAAGCAGATTCAGGCCTAGTTAGTATTTGGATGGGAGATTATCAGGGAACGCCAAGGCTGCAGATTAGCTTGAAAAGTCAACAAACAACACCCTGGAAGAAGGCAACACCAAACAACACAGTATTGCAAAGAAAACTGCATAGTTGTGTTCATAAAAATCCCGGAATTGAATTCAACCTAAAGGGGATTGGACTCTACATTTTCTATAGCAGATAGGAGGAAAGTTCACTGTCGTAAATGGTAAATCTTTACTGGTAGTTCTCGACTTACAACCATCATTGTTAAGTGAGTTTTGCCCCATTTTACAACCTTTCTTGCCATCGTTGTTAAGTGAATCACTGCAATTGTTGAAGTTAGTAACCCGATTGTTAAGGGAATCTGACTTCCCCATTAACGTCGCTTGTCAGAAGGTCGCAAAAGTGGATCACCAGGGACATAGCAACCATCACAAATATGAGTCGGTTGGCAAGCGTCTGAAGTTTGATCACGTGACCATTGGCATTCTGCAATAACTTTCAATGGTCATTAAATGAGCTGCCGTGCGTCGAGGACTACCTATAACTGGTTTTAGGATGCATATCAATTGGGCTGCAACAGAGACTGTTTAATGATTTTATCATTTCAAATAATGACAAGTATAAAACACTGCTCCAATTAATATGGTTACGGGATAATTTAAGGTGAGCGACTGATTCATCCATCCATTCATTTCCAAGAGCAATATATGAGATATACACAGTTACGTGGAAAGGGAGTCATTAAACAAGGCTTCATAGAATTCCTAAAGAGATCCCTAAGCCTCCTTATCAATCCTGCAGAAACCCCAATACATGATTAGTTATTTTTAAGTGAGAGAAAAAGGAAGCGCCCTTCTACAATTCTACAATAGCGTGGAGGATCCTTCCCAGTTTAATGGTGCAAGAATAAGGATAACAATAGCACTGGCAATAACTCTTAGACTTATATACCGCTTCACAGTGCTTTACAGCCCTCTCTAAGTGGTTTACAGAGTCAGCCTATTTCCCCCAACAATCCGGAATGGAATGGAGCAGAGCAGAACAGAACAGAACAGAACAGAACAGAACAGAATGCTTTGTTGTCACTTGAAATGGATACTAATCAGCGTACTTTAAAATGAAATGTCATTGCATTCAGCTCTCAAAAGGTAACCATTATGCATATATCCACATCCACACTCATATATAGCACAGAAAAACATCCAGTGCCCATTTCTTGCCCCATCTGCTACCCACCTAGCAATTTGAAAACCTGCAAATGTGAGTAGGTAAATAGGTACCAGTTTAGTGGACAGGTAACCAGTGTTCTGTGCACCTTTGGCGTATAGTCATGCTGGCCACATGATCATGGAAATTGTCTTTGGATAATGCTGACTCCCTCGGCTACTGTCTTGCCCATAGTACCATAGTCTGGATCATCAGCTTTGCTCATGAACTGGGATTATGACTTCAACTTTACTTTTTGAACTCAACTGTGAATGCCTCTGCAAGTTTCAGTATGATGCCTCTAACCCAGTTCAACAAAACACACCATTACATATTAAGTGCTGAAATAAATAAATCTGCTCACTCACTCACTCATTCACTTACTCATTCATTCATTCAGTGTACACAGATTCCCATGGCAAAGCAATGATGTTGGGTGCTATAGAGAGGATTAAAATAAAGCAGAGCAAAATAAAAACAGTAACATAATATGCAAAATGCTGTAAACAATCTCATTAGCTAGACATGATGGTCTGGTTCATATACCACCTCCAGAATGTCAAAATATGTAAACCCATTTTGGCTGAATATAAACAAGTTGTATGAACACAGCCATCAAGTCTTATCACCGATCAGTTGTAGAAATTCGGTATGTTTAATGAAAAGAAGGACTGGGGTGACATGATAGCAATGTTCCAATATTTAAGACAAGGGCCTTCAAACTTGGCAAGTTTAAGACTTGTGGACTTCAACTCCCAGAATTCCTGAACTAACATGACTGGAGGAGAAATGAAGTCCACAAGTTGAAGTCCACAAGTCTTAAAGCTGTCAAGTTTGAAGACCCCTGATCTAGGGGGTTGCCATAAAGAAGAGGGGGTCAACTCCAAAGCATCTGAAGACAGAACAAGAAGGAATGGACCAAGGAGAGATCGAACCTAGAATTAAGGAGAAATTTCCTGAGAGTTAGAACAATTAATCAATGGAACGGCTTGCCTTCAGATGGCTTCAACAATGGAGGCTTTTAAGAAGAGATTGGAATTATCTGAAATGGTAGAGTGTTTCCTGCTGGAGCCAATGATTGGATCAGAAGTTCTCCAAGGTCCCTTTGGACTCTCTTATTCTGTTATCTACCTACTTCAGTAATTCCAGGCTGGCCTTTTTTTTTTTTTTTTTTTTGTAGATTGCAAGAGCACATTAATTTCTAATTGCTCCACCTGCAGAGGAGTAGGAGCTGGAAGCGAGAGGGAATGTCATTGCCTTTTTGCTTATAAAATTATATTTGGCATTATGAGGTGGTCTTTTTTTTTTTAATCAGTCCTAATTCCTTTTATTGGCAAGCGATCGCTTTGCTTTAAGCAGCGGTCGGCTGTTGAATGTTGATAATGTAATATTGGGACATTTCAGGAGCCATGAAAATATTTTCCCCAGGACTGACTTATCATTTCCCTAGGATATTAGGACCTTCCAAAGGCAATCCAACTGCTTTAAAATTAAGCGATGTCTCTTCCTAGAATTCTTGGCCATGACATTAAATCGCTGCCTTGTTGTTCTGCCAGCTTGTACGTCTTGGTGAGTGTGTCAGTCTGTGTTGTGTTCTGAGCTGCACAGCTTTAACTGGGGGAAAGGAGCGAGTGTCTTTTATTTTTTTCCCCTGCCATCCACCCAACCCATAACTCATTAGATCTCACTGTGAAGCTAATCAACACCATCTGAATTTTTGCATGCGATGTTATCTTGCACTGCAGTGATGCTGCAGAGAAGGCTGGAAGCAATACAATCCCCAGGAACCACCGTTTCCACTGCCAATATATTATGCTTTCCTGCTTTTTCTGACAGTCCAGTTCTAATTTCAAGGTCCACTTAATTCTTCCATCAAATCATTACTGCCATACCCAGCAGCACCTTCTCTCCAGAGCTAAGCATATGGCAAAGGACCCAGGCCGACTGGTTTCCATTATGGAATCAGAACTGGTGCCAAGCTGATTTTAAAGGGAAATAGGCAAGGGTATCTTGGCGTGTGTGTGTGTGTGTGTGTGTGTGTGTGTGTGTGTGTGTGTGTGTGTGTGTGTGTGTGTGATAGAGAGAGAGAGAGATGGAGAGAGAGATGGAGAGAGGGGGAGAGAGAGAGATGGAGGGAGAGATGGAGAGAGGGGGAGAGAGAGATGAAGGGAGGAGAAGGGAGAGAGGGAGGGAGGGAAAGAGAGAGATGGAGAGAGGGTGAGAGAGAGATGGAGGGAGGGGGAGGGAGAGAGGGAGGGAGGGAGAGAGAGAGATGGAGAGTGGGGGAGAGAGAGAGATGGAGGGAGGGGGTGGGAGAGAGGGAGGGAGGGAGAGAGAGAGAGAGAGATGGAGAGAGGGGGAGAGAGGGGGAGAGAAAGAGAGAGAGGGAGGGAGGGAGCCAGAGATGGAGAGAAGGGGGGAAGAGAGAGAGAAAGAGGGAGGGAGAGAGGGAGAGTCCCAAAGGTGCTTTTTCAAAAGGCAACTGGACTTTCTTTGTTTTTCCTTGAAGATGTTTCATTTCTCAGCCAAGAAGCTTCTTCAGTCAAGCTTCTTGGATGAGAAGCAAATCGTCTTCAAAGAAAAACAAGAAAGTGCAGTTGCCTTTTGAAAAAAGCACTTTTTGGGATAACTGTGACCTGGATGACTGAGAATCTTCATTGACAGACAGACAGACAGACAGCAACTTAAAAAGTGAAACTAATATATGAGATAGACTCATTACATGCAAAGCAAGATAGTTCAAGCTGTGATTTGTCACAATTGTGATGATTATGGCTTACAGCTCATGAAAACCCCAAATCCACAATCTCAGAAAATTAAAATATTACCTGCAATCAATAAAACAAGGATTGTAAATAGAACAATATCGGACCTCTGAAAAGTATAAGCATGCATATGTACTTAATACTTGGTTTGGGCCCCTTTTGAAGCAATTACTGCCTCAATGTGGCGTGGCATGGAAGCTATCAACCTGTGGCACTGCTGAGGTGTTATGGAAGACCAGGATGCTTCAATAGCGGCCTTCAGGTCTTCTGCATTGTTCGGTCTCATGTCTCTCATATTTCTCTTGGCAATGCCCCATAGATTCTCTATGGGGTTCAGGTCAGGCAAGTTTGCTGGCCAATCAAGCACAATAATCCCATGGTCATTGAACCAGGTTTTGATGCTTTTGGCAGTGTGGGCAGGTGCCAAGTCCTGCTGGAAAATGAAGTCAGCTCATCTGCGGAAGGAAGATGAAGTGCTCCAATATCTCCTGGTAGATGGCTGTGTTGACCCTGGACTTAATGAAGCACAGTGGAGCAAAACCAGCAGATGACATGGCTCCCCAAATCAACCCGGACTGTAAAAACTTCACACTGAACTTCAAGCATCTTGCAGTGTGTGCCTCTCCATTCTTCCTCCAGACTCTGGGTCCTTAGTTTCCAAATGAGATGCAAAAGTTGCTCTCATCAGAA